GATTTTTTTGAAAGTACATTATTGGTTTATCTGGGTGGGGTAACATTTGGTGGTATGAGGTATTTCCAAACATTTCAGTACGTCCTAAAAGGGGATGGAAATGGGTATTTGGTAAAGGGTAGAGAGAGTGGGAATCGAGAGAGTGAAGTGGAAGAATATGAAAGAGGAGTGGGAAGGGAGGGAATACAACTACTTTGAAATCAAATGGTTTGAATTTTTTTACCATGGAATAACCGAGTTACCACAGTCACTAAGTGACTCTTTGCTCATCATATAGGTCTAACAAGAAATAGGGTGCAGACGTAGCCTCAGAGGTGTCTTGTCAAAAGAAGCACAAACTTATTAGTGGTACATTTTATATTTTGGTAGGTTCACGTAAAGTACCATTGTATGTTATTCCCGTGATATTAGTAGATATTTTGTGCCACTAGAATAATTGAACACTGATTGTAAAGAGGTTGTGCACAATGAAAACGGAAGTCCTGAAATTTATTGTTTCCAACTACCTCCTAACCACTTTTGTAAGTGAATGTTACAGTGGTACACTTAGAAGTACCTCTGAACAACCATATTTTACCATGTCATCGAATTATGACCCCTAGTATGACTTATTTGTACCACTTCTGTAGTCACAGAAAACAAACGCGTTAATTATAATAAATGCAACTTAGTTCCACTAAAGTAGTCAACTAAGCTACTCCTCCCTATTGCATGAAGCAATGTCTTTGTTTCTGTAAATCACAACCAAAAAAATTTGTAGGAGATAACCATAAAACTAATATAGGGAAAATTTATGGGCAACAAGAAAAATAGAAGGAAATCCAGCAACAAGACCCCAAGGGGTCTTATGAAGAGGTTGGAACTCCAAAAGAAGAATGGCTATGATGACGCGAACGGTGTGATTCGAGACTTTTACCTCCCCAAAAGGGGTAAGGAGATGATGTTTTTTTTTCACTAATCAGCCACAATTGCTCGTGGGACCTTGAAAATCCCATCACTGAGATAGATTTCTATCCGGAGTACCCTTTCCTAACTCCTTTTAAAATAGGAGATCTAGGGTACTTTCGGAAGGAAGACTTTTGTTTCATGCACTACGTTGTGGATGCTTACAAGATTGCTGTAAGTGTTAACCTTTGTCAATTGATGGAAACATTCATCGATTGCTTGCAATATCCTTACTATTACAAGCACTTGATAAAATTTTGGGAGCTTTTTCTCCCCATGCATGATTGGCATCAAAATGTTGAGTACATGCTCAACAACCACTGTGAGGAAGGTAACGACTTTGGTCTTCTACTACTTGGCCATGATTTCACCTCAGACTACGGCAAAGATTTGATTCACGTCACTATAGAGTGGTTGTATTTCTCCAAAGAGGATCCATTTGACATGATCCATTTGAGTGAAGAACAATGCATGTACTTTAGAAGTAAAATGTTGGCTAAAAATTGGTACGATGAGATGCAACACTTAGATCTCATCACAAGGGAGCCATTTCAGTATGAAGACTACCCAGCTTGGTATGTGAAACGGTTGACCGAGGCGAAGCAAAGGTTCAATAACAAGTCCAATCCTGATTCCGGTGACTGTTGGGATGGTCATCAGCCTGATTACGGTGACCCATATGAAGATCCATGGTACGGTTATGATGATTTTGTGTTCGATTGACTCGATAGCGATTCACGTTGTTGCAATTATCTTTTGCAAAGTACGTAGTACTCTCTTCTTATGCTGCACTTTCTTTATTAGATAGCAAATAGCTTAAGTATTTCGTCTATGTACCCCTTACCTTTATTGGTCCAAGTACTTTTACTCTCAATACGTACTAGATTGTAGCCTACAAGTACCATTCTGTTAAAAAAGGTACATGTTAGTATGTATTAAATACCACTAGTCATTTAAGTGGTACACGATGGTGTTTCTTACGTACCACTAGTAACTGCAGTGGTACTTTATGGTGTTGCCTACGCACCAGTACTTATTTGAATGTTAACTTTATTGTTATATTATAAGAACATGTTAATGGAAGCATAGCATATATATATATATATATATATATATATATATATTTTATGAACATTGCCAGTACATGAACCATACAAAATATTAGTAATATTAACCCCCGCATAAACTAAGGATAACAAGGACCATACATGAGTTATAATTTGAAATAAAAAACAAGGCTAAAATTAAGATTGTAAGGCCAAATTTGACAAAGTTTACGTTTTGATGCTCTAACGCCTCGACCCGCCGAACAACTCCACCAATGTAGGTAGGTGGTCCGTCCTTGACGAGGTCTGACTCCACAGCCCATCCCCAATACCCACAATTAATGTCAGCACTTGTAATATAATAAGGCCTCTCGAATTCATCTCCGACATGGAGATCCGAAATTCAATTCCACAAGGGTAGAATCGTCCCCCAAACAGTTACAAACTTTCACCTATATCCATGATATGTTGGCCGATGCACATGGACGACGAAGTTTACGGCTCCCAGAAGAGGCAAATGACATGGAAGACATGACTCCCGGTCGATTTATGAAGAAGGTTTATGAGAAAAATGTATTTCAAAATGATGAGAAGTAAGGAAATACATGAGAAGTGAGGTATATATACAGGCAAAAGACCATCCATGCTACAGGGCTACATTAGCGGGAAAAACTTATTGGACTCCCGCCAAAATTTCGCTTTGGGCCCATTCTGATATATAGTATTCTATAGATTGATAGTTTCCAATGGTACAATAGTAACTTTGTTGATGTACCACTTAGTTAATGTCTGTGCAAACTAATGTACCATATGTTTAACGCCTTAGTTACAATTAAAAGTGCATAAGAAATGCAATGTTTACAAGGGAAGCCAACACACATTCTTGGTAAACGATGGGTAATTATAATACAAAAGGGGTGGGAACCCCGTGATCGATAACAAACTGCACAACAATCTAACATAGATAATATTACATAAAACATTTACATGTGTGGATGTTTCCAAAGCAGTACTTTTACTATGTTTGATATTGAATTATAGGTTGGACATGTACATTGTCGAGGTCCAGTAAGACAATGTTCGTACATGATACGACATCAAATTTCAGAAACTCTAGTATTCATAAATGTAGGTCCTATTAACAAAGATATTAGTGACCCCAAAAATTGTCATTAAACAATGTTTGTCCTAGTATGAAGGTTTTGCACCACTCTAAATAAGAAACATGCCTTTGCCTTTTCAGTGATACATTTTACAAGGTTATGTGTACTACGCTGATTATAGTGGTACCCTTCTTATCTTAGTGGTACCCTTGATATGATGACACCGTGTACTCTGATCTTGAAACCCTAGATATGCTGAAATTGTACCATCGGCGTAAAAGTGGCACACTGCGAATCACCATATGTTCCACTATTAACCAACCTGTTGCATGTACCATTATAATAAACTATTCATGTAAACACCTTTATTTGGTGTCCACATTTAATCAAGGATGTAGGGGCACACACTAAGTTTACTAATTTGTGTGCACATTCATTAAATAATCACAAATAGCCTTTATTAAAACCGAAGAATGGCTTTACTCGATCTACAAGAAGTTGGTATTCATTAAAAGAATACATAGATATCACATATTACATAGAAAATTACGTTATATACACATGTCAACTGTAAATGTTAATCTCCATACATTGAATTGAACAATGACACAATATTCGTTACATCTGTGGAACAAACAGCATAAAACATTGAGTATTTTGTAAATAACAACACCTGGGATTATTTTTTTAATATCAACTCATAACTTAAAAGTCTTTCCTCATCAATGTACTACAATCACAATTTTGTTGAATACATAGTAACATCCTATAGTGGGTTGCATTTTAGTGCCATTCAAATGACAGTGGTACATATTAACATGTTATTTACGCACTAAATCCTATCAATGTCATCGTTTCAGTTATGGACTGTACCACTAGACTTTTTTTCACTGCTAATGGTTCCAATTCGATGATAGTGGGATATATAATTGTCAATATTGTACCATTTATGCAGTTCGTAGTACTAAGTACAATCCAAATAGTATTGCAGTCAAATTTTTTTGGTTACATCAACTGGAACATCTCAAATTATATATTGTGGATTGCAAAACAACAAATTGATATTAACCAAATAATATTATATTGTCTCACTTATATAGAGTGCTAACAAATGGTACATGTCCAACTCTGTACTGCTACAGAAAATTGACAAATGGTACATTTAATGAACTTAAAATTGTACCATTGCAAGGCTTGTTTAATAAGAAATCGAACAAATATATACCATTGCATTAAAAAAACAGTTCAATTCACATTACAAGTGATTGGAACCTGATGTACCAGGAGTACCTAGTACACTTGCAAAAAAACCACAAGAATTTGTTCCGCTAACAGAAGTGAAGTACTCTAAGGAACCATCCACATCCCTCATTTGAATTCCTCCAACCGATCGCATGTAATCATTCATTAACAATGACATACTGTTTTGTGCTCCTATAGCTTGCTTCTTTGCTGCACTTTTTACCCTAGCAGCCTTTTCTTTTCCTTTTTTCTCTGTGCAAGATGGATACCTCACATTGGTTGTACGATGGGCCTTCATCTTGGGCAAGGGTGGATCCTTAATCACCACCGGAACAGATCCTTCACAACTCCCTTCAAAGGCACTAACTGGTATGGGGATTGTATTTGGCAACTCAGATGCATGTGTGGCCGGTGTATTTGTACAACCAGAAACCTTGTTCAAAGCCACAAAAGAAGGCGTCTGAACAACACCATGTACGTTATCATCCTCACCTTTTTTTTCATTATCCTTAGCTGCATGTTCCTGCTTTTTGGCAACCATTACCAACACTTCATCGACTCTGAGGTACATCAATTGCAACAACTCTGTCACGGCCTCAACACCCTCCTTACAAGCTGAAGCCTTTGAGAAAATTGGTTCATACATCCCCATCAGTTTTTGATATTACCTGGCTTCATCGGTTTTAAGTGAATCATGGTAAGCTACTTTCACTTTTGTGTGTTTCCTTTGAATATCCTTCCTCCAACGACGTTGAATATACTTCTCAGAAATAATGGAAACACCACTAAGGTCATAAACAAAGATCATATGTCGACAAATGATTTCATGGCACTCAAAGTGTTTACAGTCACAAGTAGCTTCGTATGTAGTTCTGATCGCACACCCTATAGCATCTCCGAACCTTAGTCACCGACTCTTTCTTTGCATATTTTGGCTTGATCCACACTCGGTCCTCAATAACAAACTCAACTTGATTGTCACAAACTTCATAGTCATCTAGAAGACTCATGTACAACATCTTGGTGCATTCCCGCTGAACTTCTTTGAATTTGGCGTCCATGTAATACTTCTGGAACACCTCCTCCGCTGGGAAATCGGTCACTAAATGCCTGACATATCGCAGTGTGTAGGAGTCCGCAATTCTTTCAGACTTAGCTCTTATCTGCATTGCATCGCAGTATCGAAGCACAAATTCAGATAACGTTGTATTATTGTCAACATAACCTTTGAAGAAATAATTAAAACTTTCCGAACGTTGGGTCGTTTTCATCCCAGCCTAGAATAAATGCTTCAAATACGCTGGGATCCACATGTGCCTTTTCTCATACAGCCCTACATCTCATAAAATTGCAAATACTGGCTTTTATATACCTTGCTTCAAAAATTAGCCATACAGCTCTAAAACCTTCTGACACCTATAACTAGTACATTCAGTGTTCCAAAAATGTACCACAATATATGCAAAAAAATCATTCAGTGGTATAAAATTCTACCACTACAGCTCGTCCTACTCTAAATTAGAACTGAAACACCTTCCAGTCCCCTGCACAAACAGCTACAACTCTGCATATTCTAACAAAAATCAGTAACAAACTATAAAAGATTAAGTGGACCCACCTAACCTTCAAGCTAACTGTTTCCTTCTAGTTTATAATAAGCAACTGCGTCCAGCCAACGATCTACAAACTTGTCAAGATCTAAACTACCATAAATGATATTTTCAAACTCATCTTTTATAGCTTCATACTCCTCATGCCTACCCACATACCTCCCAAACTTCTGATGTGCCATATGCACCACCTATGGCAACTCTTGGGCATGGTCAAGTTTACAACTTTCCTAGTAGCCGGATCTTGATCCGTTAGGATTGAGATAGGAGCTTTACCCCCCATGAAATGTAGCCATCTCCTCAGCACCTACTTTTAGGTCTCTGCCGTCTCCCGAGAGATCAATGCACACCCAAAAAAAATACTTTGTCCATGATGGTTCACACCGATAAACACAACAAAGGGAAGGTGAAATTTGTTTGTCGAGTATGTACTGTCAAAACATACAACATCTCCAAACTCCTCATACGCAACTCTACTCCTTGCATCTACCCACACAACATCTTGTAATGCTCCGTCCTTCCCAAACCGACATAGATGGAAAAAATTTTGTTTGTCGGCACTCATTTTGTTGAAGTACTCTACCATGCCATTTACATCACCCTTAGTAAGCTCAAGTCTGGTTTTCTGAGCCATTGCATTCTCCAAGTCTCTTTGCGTAAATGTCATCTCATCCACTCCATTCCGCTCCCGAGCATAACAACTGTACATTTGGGATACCTTCACCCTAGACTTCTTCGCCATATGCACCTGGTTCACCAAGTGTTTATTTTTTACCATTAACTCGTGCTTTCGGTACATCAATACATCCTTTGACTTTCCAGGTGTAATAATGTGACCTTTTTGGTCCAAATTAAGCCTTCGAAAAACCCAATTCCCGCACTTTTTTGGTCTTTCGCTTCTACACCATCTCCTCATCTTGCAACAACCTTTCCTTAAGTGTATCCTCTTTACGCTTCCTTGACATTGTTCCATAACAGTCACAAGTCCACTTAGCATTCCTTCTCCGCTTACAACACTTCCCATTTTCCAATTCCTTCTTCACATTCACCCACTAGAAGCAGCCCTCACTATACCAAAACCCTTTTGCCTACCATAACTCCAGAAATAAGTATCCAACTCATCCCAACTCCCGAATACCATGCCCCAAGTTGGGGATGGTACTTCCTCTTCCACACCAAACACGGTGTTCACCATTACCATGTTATTCTTTGGGGTTATGAATGAGGAACCTACTGCACCAGCCCCATCAACTTCAACACCACGCTCAACTTCATCTTCCTCAAAATCTGCCCCCTCAAACTCAACCTCAACACTTTCCCCCTCTTCATCCTCCTGCTCATCTCCTTCTGTTAATCCATCATCACTATTTAATCCCTCATCATAAACATATACATCATCATCCCCACCATATTTGTATCCAACACCAACATCCACCTAAATCACATATTCAACCATAACTGATTCTATTTTAAGCATTATAACAAAAAACCGTAACTATATACATACACAACAACACCAACCCCAACAAAGTAAATCATCAGATAATACATAACACAACATACCAAAGACAACAACTTCGCATGCAAACAAAATCCCATAACTATCAGTGATAAAATACAACAATACTCCAACCCTTTTTTTTTCTTTCCACAGCAACTCATTTGAAAACACATTAAGCAAACCTACAAACATCTACCAAATTGCCTGACTCATTCAATTACGAGATACTCTTCCACCCACACTTTCAAATCATCATAGTTAACATAATTCCCAATCTAAATTACAAACAACTACAACACATAAAATAAATTTCATCAATTCAAATACAATACCCATTTACTCAAATTACAATTAACAATCAACGTTTGTATCAAACAATAACTCAATTAAACACTACCAATTTCTTATATAATTACTCAATTACATGGATTCAAGTTCAACTGAAATTAACAACTATCACTTCTAACCCTAACCTCTTCAACATCTAATTATAAGAGTCTACATTAATCAATTACCCAATACAAATACTCAATTATAACCATCAATTTCAACAAACAAGACTAACAAAGCTAAATACGACCGATACTTACATTCTCAGAGTCGAATCGCAACTCCCTTGTGCATCCATCGTCGACTTTGCCATCTTCCCCCAATGCATCCGCTAAATCAACACCCAAAATGTCGGCTAACCGATTTCACATCGTGATAATCGACTTCATCAAAAATTAGTTGTAATTTCGAGTTTAGATTCAAGAGTTTCGGAATATAGGTGTCGCCATTCTTCAAGAGCTTCCATACCCAATTTCTTTTTTTTCATTCACTTACAGGTAAAAGTAAGTGAATTTCGTCTTCTCGCTTCTTTTTAGCATTCCCCGTTTTGCTTTTACTGTACCGTTATATTACAGCCCACTTTCATTCAACAAACTTCACCTTAATTACACAATTGCCATCCTATATACTTCTAAATGTATAGGTGCTATGCGCCGATAGTTTTCCCCATAGTGATATTACATTTAGAAAAATACTATATATAAATCTTAGGGCCATGTATAAGGACCTTAAAATGGAAAAAAAAACAAATGAAAATATAACATTAATTATACTAATTTGAATGTGAATGTGATTTTGTCATCCTTTCCTAAATTAATACTCCCTCTGTCCCTTATCTAGAGGCCCATATTCCATTTTTGGGTAGCCAAAAGTAGTGGCACATTTCTATTTTAAGAGTGTATTTTTGTACAATATTACACTCTTTTTGATGAGTTGTCATCATTTTTCTATTATTTTTTTGTACTTTTGACATTATTTCCCAACACTTTCACTTTCCCCCTCTTCAATAATTACCAACTAATTTTATTACTCTTTATCTCTTTGTAACCCCACATGCATATTTGTACTCCTATCATTTGGTTTAAGGAATCTACAACTTTCTTAATTTTCATGGTTAAAACCCAAATAGGCCTCTAGATAAGGGGTGGAGGGAGTACTAAATTAAGAAATTTATTAAATGTTATACTTAGCCTTAAGGGCTACATACAGCATTACCCTTACATTTATTATGCAATTCCAAAACGTTGAGTACTAAAAAAAATGAGAAAGATTAATTTTGAATTTCCTAATAAACCATACTTACACAGACATTTTAACCCTTTTAACTCATTAATTAAAAGTATGTGCCGGTCAAATCAATATATTTAAATTAAACAGAGGAAATAACTACCCACTTCAACCACTATTTAAAAATATAATACTACTATACAATTTGCCTATAATAAACTTATTATTATAAATATCAAAATCGTATCCCATGAGATCTTTTTAAATTCTTCTTGAAATATATTTTCAAAATATGATTTTTTTAGAATTTTTGTTCATATAGTATTGGATAGATTCATGTTTAAAGATGTGCATTGTCGCGTTGAATACTACTTCCTTCGTCTTTTTAGTTGACACATTTTGACTTTAGCACTATTCACACACTTTCCTTAGACCTCGTTTTGTGAATCATATGTAATGAAAAATATAATCATGTGGGATTTTGTTAGATTCGTCACGATATATATTTTCAAAATATCAATTTTTTATAATCTTTTCTTCTTGGTAATAAAAGATTGAAAAAATTAACACCAATAATCCCAACTATTAGTGACCTTCTCAAATTAATCCCAACTCAATTTTAACCTAATATAATCAAAACTATTGAGGCAACCTTCTCAAAACAATCTCTTTATTTCTGAAACTTAATTAATCGGTTACATTGATAACATGGTGTTTTGTGGTTGGCTTATACTTCCTCCGTTTCTATTTAGTTGACACGTTCACTTTAGGCACACATATTAAGGAGAGGAGAGAGAGTGATAATGCAAGTGGGGTAACTAGTAAATTCAAGGTATAAAACTTACCCAAAGAAGAAACGTGTAAACTAAAAAAAAACTTTCTAAAGAGGAATACGTGTCAACTTAAAAAAACCCGGAGGTAAGTATCAATTAACTATAAATATTTAGTTTTTAAAGACATTAGTTTTAGATGAAAAAAAAATCATTTTAGATGTCTTCTTCTTCCTTCCAACTACAGATAGCACATTGGGTCAGGCCGGCCGGCCCAAATCTCAGCATGGCCCAGCATGAAAAAAGCACGGAATGACAGAGTAGTGTGAGTGTGGGTCGTGGGCCGCCTTTATTTGGGAGAAGCATGATAAGGCACAGCACAACTGGGCCTGCACGACAAAGCACGCTAAAATCAATGTAATTTTTCTAGGCATGCAAGCACGGCACGATGGCACGTGGGCCTAGGCCGTGCACGGGCCAACATTTTGAAAACTTCGGCTCAGCACGGCACGAAACTAGTGGGCCGAGACATGGATCGCGCCTAACTAATCCCAAAGCATGTGGGCCTGGCACGAGGCACGACCCGGCGTGGCCCAGAGCCATCTTTACTTCCAACCACCATAAGCAAAACTAGTCCCTTACCCAAACCACTAGTCCTCTTTCTCTAATCTGTTGTCCTTTTGATCTATCTTCATTAAGAGTCACTGCCAAACTCATGCCACATATTCCACGCACCAACCTTCTTCTTAATCTCTCTCTCCCTTTTGGATTCATCCATCATTAATGGTTAAACCTTACAAGAATTGGGTTTTCTCAATTATTTGATATGGGTTCCTGTTTTTTTTTAAAAAAAAAAATTTTTAAAAAAAGTCAATCAATTTATCATAACATTGGGTCATTGTAACTCTCAAATACATCACTGTCATCTTTTTCCACTTTGACAGCACCAACTTCAACATCGAATTATCGGACAAAATTAGCCTTAAATATAACGATGAATTGTTGACTTTTTCAATTGATTGGTCAGTTCATCATAAATTTAATTGCTCCCATGATTAATTGACTTCGACTCTTCGAGGATGGAGCGATGTAGCCTAAACTTGAGAATAATTAAAAAGAGTTGATCGTTGTTCATATCCACTATATGTTCTTCCTTTGAAAGATACCAATCATAGCAGGTGCACAATGTTATAGATTTTAATTTGGCAAAATTATTCTGCAATTGTTTAATTGAAGAAATAGAGATACAGTTGCAGTCACTTTGTTGCTAGTTGTGGTGGTGATCAAATCGGTAAGGGTGTAGTCTAGTACATGAGACTATGAGAGAGAAAGCTCTTTGGTGTTAAAAAAACTTACCTATTGAACAAGTAGTAGGTAACTTGGACTATTATGAGAAGGATATCTTAATAGTTGAGATTAACCTGAGTTAAACTATAAGTGGGATTAAAATGAGAAGGCCTTTCATAGTTAGGATTATTTTATTAATTTTTCCTAAAAGATTTTAATGGTTATATTTGTTCTTTGGCAAACGTGACTAAAGCAACGTCTCAATTAAAAAGAAACAAACACTAGTAAAAAAATGAAATAGGCACCGCAGAATGCGCACCAGTTTTTAAAAACCGGCACGAAAAAAAATAGGCGGGATTGAGGGGAAGAGTTTTCCCACCGGTTCTAACCTAACCGGTGCGAAAAATGAATTAATTGCATCGGTTCGGTTCGTTGGTATATCTGAATTGCATTATGCAGTTTTCAACCGTTGTAGTTTTCTGGAGTGGATTTTGGTCATTACCTCAAATAAGGACTGGTTCCAAACCGGTGCGAAATGGGGGTTTTGAACCGGTGTCCATTCGTATTTTTCGCCTAGTGGTTGTTGCTGCAGTACATCGAAAGGTTATCTATGAGTTTAAAGCAATTTTATTTTTTTTTAACTTTAAATATGTCCACCATGAGTGTGATTATTCAAATTTGGTTATATTTTCTAATTGTGTATTTAAAATGTTTTTGAGCAGGATTTGTAGGTTTTGTTTGGTGATTCTATGCTCTTTTAAACAGCAAAAATTTATTCAAGGAAGTAGCTATTTTGCTGGTAGGTTTACATAGACAGAAAATTTGTTGAATTTGTGTTCTTATTCTTTGTTTTGCTGGTATTAATGTTAGTTGGTTGGCTTTATTTGTGGTTTTGCTCTTATGTGTTTCTCTTGTAATACTAATAGCCCTTTTTATTATGCCTCACCTCAAATGAATTCCCAGATTCTTAGTATAGATTCTAGGAGTAAAATAGATGTTTCTCTTTAGTGTAAGTGTAGATTAATGCCTGTGCATATGTATACTTTGGTTGAATATGAATTCTCCTTTTGGTAATGTTTTGCTTTGGGTTATGGTTTTTTTTGGTTTTTTGTGTTATTGTTTGGGTCTTAGCTGGTGTTTAGTGTAGTTAGTCTAAGAGTGTTAAGATTATAATAATAGAATGAATGGTGGTTTGTTATCAGAGTTCCTTTAAAAGGTTAGAAAAGTGCTCTTTGTTTGTTACAGGTAATGGAAGCAATTTGTCCTATTCCAATCTCATTTCAGTTGTTAATCTGCTATTGGAGCATATTACTAATTGTCTTGGACGTGGAAAACCAGTTTATGAGATTTCTTATTTTTGTATACTTGCCTACTTAGGCTTTACTTGGGACTAATGCTTTATTGTTGTTGAGAATTCAATTCCATATGGTTGTATGATATTAAAAATAGAAACATTTGAATGCAAAGAAAAATAAAAATATCTTACTGGCCAAGAATGTATCTAAGGAGCCTTTTGATTGTCCGTCTGTCTGTCCTTTGCCTAGGATATAGTGTTTGACTAATGTTATGGCTGATGTTTCTGATCTAACAATCCAAGGCTCGAAATTTAAAGAATGGAGTCTGATAGAGGGAATTTGCAATGTGAGGTACCAGCAACAGTTGGTGGAGAATCACACTATAACTGGTCAAAAGAAGCTTATGTTGTCCGTGACATATCGTAGAAAACGCTTGGTAGTTGCGTGCCGCGGACAGTCGCTTGAATCTGAACCAAACGCTTATGAACCCAAGAATATTTGGAATTCAATTATAAATTTTTTGGATGCCTTTTATAGGTTTTCAAGGCCTCACACAATTATAGGAACAGTTAAGTTTTCTAAGGTTTCGACCTTTTCATTGTCTTATTAACATGTCACATCTCTTCATTTTTTCTTTTGATTCTACTTGTATGCCTATGCTGTTGAAATTTATTATTATATAACTTGGATGTTTTACTTTTTGATGACATGAATTGAGCATAGTTTCATTTTCTTTACTTGTAGTGCAGAAGCTTTCAGATTTTTCTCCTATGTTTTTCACTGGAATGTTAGAGGTAATTCTTGATATATGTGTTCACTGTCTTCTTTACCTAGGTATATTTTAAGCGTTTTCTCTATCAATAAATGCCTCTCCTGATCAATTATCTATGACTATTTTTCAGGCCATTATTGCTGCTCTTATCATGAATATATACATCGTAGGTTTGAATAAGATATCTGACATAGAGATAGACAAGGTAAGGACTTGAAATATCTTGCCTTTCATTTATTCACAATTCACATCGTTTTACTCAAATACATATTGGCATATGTTGTTTATATTACTTTCTCTACAATGAAATTAATTGATATAGCTCCGAACAGAACCATGAGATAAGGCATCTAACTTGAAGCTGCTTAAGTATAGACCCAATCTCAAAAAAAATTATGTTTGTGCCACAAAATCAATTTACTAAGGAAAAATAAAAAATAAAAAAATCCAAATCACTAAGGACTGTATTTAACATTGCTAGACAATATTGTGTATTAGTTTGATACTCATTTAAGTTGGGTCAATAACCTTGTCACTAGTATAAACTGGTTAGGTGTAAGGCGGAGTAAAGTATTCCCTCTACAAAACCTGCTGATGGTGAAATCCATATTGGGTAGTTTTTGTTGTTCATGCTACATGAATCATGGTATCTAGTGTGTGTACATCCTAATGTGGTTATAGGTCAATAAACCATATCTTCCTCTCGCATCTGGGGAATATTCTACTGGAACTGGTATCTTCATTGTTACGTCATTTGCCATATTGGTAAGGAGTTCTAAATGCCCTGCTGAGAATGACTACATAATTTTTGTTAGCTTATGAAATGCTTTCAGCTTTCGGGTTTTGCATTGCAGACATCTATTTCAAAATTTGTATTTCCTATTCCCAAATTGTTGGTTGCTATTTCCATCCTTTTGTAGACATTTATCTTTCATGTTCGTTCATTGCATGTTCTTCATCGATCCTAAATTGTTATCTCCATGTATGTTTATTCCGTCCTAGATTTCTTGAATTACTAAATGTTATTCTCATTCATTTGTTTGTCTGTCATGCAGAGTTTTTGGCTGTGGTCAGTTGTGGGTCATGGCCCTTATTCTAGGCTCTTTCTGTCAGCTTTGTGCTTAGTACAACATATTCCATAAATGTAAGGTTTAATGCTCTAGTGGTTTGTCAGAGACATGTATGTGATGCTTGGTTTTCCTTGTTTTTTTGGTGGTTACTAATCAAACTATGGTCATAAAGTTGAAATATTTTTGAACGAAGACAGTAGTGAGTTTAATGACCAACCAAATGTCTCTATGACTGGTGAACATATTACGTAGCAGTATGATACTTAGGTTTAAACTCTACCCTGACTGAGCAACACCATGATCACAGAGACAGGTGATCATATTTCCGAATTTAAGTTGTATTTTCTGTTCATATCCATTTAGTACAAGATTGTAACCTCTTTGTGCTCTTTAGCATCTGGATGCTATTTTCACTAGCTTTTAGAAATCCAGCTGGTGTTTATTCAAAAGGGACTGAGTATCTAAAAGCTGCTCTTATAAATGAGGAAGTTCCTTGAAAAATTTGAATAGAATCTCCCAAACCCTTTTTGCAATTTTAAGTTTGCTTTCTTTACTGTAGTTTGACAAGTATGATGTCTTGTTGCTTAGAAATTTTTTACTTTTTATGAAGTGGTAATATTTGTTTGTTCTTTTCTCTTGGACTTTCAACTGCCTAAGTTGAGATGGAAGAGATATGTTGTTGTTGCAGCAATATGTATCCTCGTGGTTTGGGCTATAATTTTTCAAATTGCATTTTATTTGTGTGTGACCTTGTATTTTATTTTATTTTATTTTTTTGGACGCAAATTGTAATATTACAGCCTTTTTAATGAAAATATGTAACTTTATATATATGTTAGTATTTCTATATCAATTTTAAGTGAAAAAAATGAAACTTTTTTTTTTTTGGGCATTTTTGGCACCGGTTTTGAAACAGAACCGATGCTAAAAGTTTTTTTTAATTCTTTTGGGCATTTTTGGCACCGGTTTTGAAACAGAACCGGTGCTAAAAGTTTTTTTTTTTTGGGCCATTATTCGCACCAGTTCACAACAAGAACCGATGCGAAATCTAAGTTTTCGCACCGGTTTTGAACCGGTGCGAAATCTTTTGGTTTTTGGCATCCCTCAAATAAGGACCGGTTCAAAACCGGTGCTAAATAGGGGTTTTGAACCGGTGCCCATTTGTATTTTTCACCTAGTGATCTCATTCTTATGAGCATCAAAAATGGAAACCCCTTCGTCCCACATCTTTCTCAAATCGTCAACAAGTGGCGCAAGATAAACATCTATGTCGTTTCCAGGTTGCCTTGGCCCCATTATTAGTAGTGAAAGCATTACATACTTACGTTTCATGCACAACCAAGGAGGCAAATTGTAGATCACTAAAAGTACCGGCCATGTGCTGTGTTGGGTACTAAGAGTGCCAAATGGATTCATCCCGTCCGTGCACAACCCTAGCCTTAAATTTCTGACTTCATCACCAAATTTCCCAAACTTCATATCAATGTTCTTCCATTGCGGGGAATCGGCTGGATGCTTCAGCATTTTTCTTTCTTCCCTTTGCACGCCACCTCAAGTTTTTAGCGTCTTTTGGTGTTGAGAAAAGACGCTTAAACCTTGGAATAATGGGAAGATACCACAACACCTTAGCAGGAGGTCCCTTCTTACCAGCATTGCAACTCATGCGCTTGTAGCGCAGACTTTTTGCATCGTGAACACTCCTCCAATTGTTCATATTCATTTCGATAAAGAATACAATCATTAGGACATGCATGTATCTTCTTATACTCTAAACCAAATGGACACATGAGCTTCTTTGCATAATAGTAAGACTTAGGAATTTCATTCCCGTCAGGCAATATCTCACTTAACGCGGTCAACAAAGAAGTAAAACTATTGTCCGTCCACCCATGCTTCGACTTAATGTTAAACAGTGTTAGCACAGCTGATAGTTTGGAGTATTAGGATACAAAGGCTTTTTAGAAGCCTCCGATAATGACTCAAACACGTCACCTTCAACACCACGCATCATCTCATCCACCCCTTCATCCTCGATCTCATCCACCTGATCATCCTCAAATCCATCCTCATCACCATTATCAATAATATATTCATCATTCATGTATTCCTCGTCCACACGAATCTCATTGCTTCTATCATGCACGTCATTCCCATCAACATCCCCACTATACTCTCCTTCTTCATCGTGCCAAATCCACACATGGTATTCAAGCCTAAACCCACGACAAACTACATGATCTCTAATGATATCAACACTATTGACCACCTTCACATTATTACAATCAACACAAGGAAAATAGAGGCAATCGACACCCATTCTGCGCTGATAAGATGAAACCCTCTCGCAAAACTCTTGAACCTCATCAAAGAATTCCAGTGTATCACGTCTACCATACATCTAACCACGATCCTTCTCCATTAAGTAAATTGTCTCTAAATATAGCAACATATTACCGAATAATGTATAATTGCTACATATATTATATATGTAAATCAAATTCAAACACACACCATGCATATAACATTTCTTATAGTAAAAAAATGCATATATGCTTCCAAAGGGTCCTTATCACTCCAACCTAACCCATCCTTGAACGTGTAATCTCACTAGTGAATGTATGTCGACTTTCCAATTTTAAGGAAAATCCGGCAGCATTTTCCCCCATTTCTCCAAGTACACGATGTAGATAATTACTTACCCACATATGTACCCAGAGAACAGGGTGAGGAAATGATAAGCCAAGATGTTCCTCAAAATCGAAAAAAGAAGACATACATTCACCACCTAAGTGAGAGTAAACGTTCAAGAACAGTCCCAACCGGGGACTATTCAAGACTTTCTCCTAATGAGAAAGCCTTGAGCGGGTATCTAGGCATATGATGATGCAAGCATTTTATATATTGTTGTATTTATTGGTCACTAAACAATACACAAGTTGTAATAGCATGAAAAAACTTTTGTTAAATGAATAAAGAAAAAGAAATATAGATTAGAAAAGTTTATAATTCATACCACTATAGCAAGTACAATGGATGTATTCTTTCTAACTTCTCACTTGAGCTAAATATGTAGTCTTCAAGCTAAACTTGTGCTTCATTCACATTTGAATTTATCACTACACGAATAGAGCAAATTGGCAACGGTTCAAACCCCCCCAAAGGCAACGGTTTTGAACCGTTGCGTATTAGAGGGTTGCCAAATCCCAAAATAATTGGCAACGGTTCAAAACCGTTGCCAACTCAAGCAATTGGCAACGGTTAACCGTTGCCAACTCAACAAATTGGCAACGGTTAACCGTTGCCAATTGCTATGGCCCCTTTTTTTTAATTAAATTTAATGCAGTTGGCACCGGTTAACCGGTGCCATTGACTTGTTTTTTTTTTTAATACTTCAAAATCAGCATAAACATACACCATAATCGTTATTCTCAAAAAAAAACACCAGAATCGTATCATCATTCAGCAGTAATCACTAATGAACAACAATGAACACCATAATATACATGAATATATTATATTAAATAAATTGTTATCTTACAATTTATAAAAAAATTATATAAATAAAAAGGTAACAATGAACAACAAAACACCAAATCCTTGGATCTTGAATTCTTCGTTTATGAGCAATTGTTGTAGTTGTAATACTACCTGCATCAATTAAATTAAAACCCCAAAAATCAGAAAAAATTTCGTACCAATAACTTGGAAAGTAATAAACCCAGAACTTTAAACAAAGATAAAACCATTGTTACGTTTTAGTCTAGAACTTAATAAACCCAGAAAAAATCAATAATCTAGAATCTAATAAACCCAGAAAAAACTAACAAAAAAACTAGAAACAAAAAACCTAGAAAAAACCAAAGGAATTCGAACCTAGAAAATTCGAAAAAAATCCGAACCCAGAAACCTTGAAATTTAAACAAAAAAAACTAAAAAAATTCGAACCAATCAAATTTGAAACTCAGAAAACAATTCGAACTCAAAAACCCAGAAAAAACAAAAGGAAATCGAACCCAAAAATTCGAAAAAATCCGAACCCAGAAACCCAGAAATTTAAACAAAAAAACCAAAAAAATTCGAACCAATCAAATTCGAAACCCAGAAAACAATCCGAACCCAAAAACCTAGAAAAAACCAAAGGAATTCGAACCCAAAAATTCGAAAAAAATCCGAACCTAGAAATTTAAACCCAAAAAACCCAAAAAATTCAAGAAACTAAGAAACCGAGAAAAAATCGAGAAAAAACAAAAAAAAAACAAGGTATTCGAACCTAGAAAAACCCCAAAAAAACAAAAAAATTTCGAACCCAGAAATTAAAACACGAATAAAAGCAAAAAAAAATTCAAGAAAATACCTTGCTTGGTAGCTATAATTGAAGAAGAACGAAGGATTTGAGAGTTTAGAGAGATCTAAGGTGCATGCGGATGAGAGATGAGAGAGAACGAAGGAGCTCTGAATGAAAGATCAGAAAATAAAAGGAGAGAGGGTTGATGAGAGAGAATGAATTTGAGAGAGAGATAGAGGGGCTGAGGGAAGGAGAAGCCCGAATTTTTTTTTTATAAAATCCTTTTAATTTTTTTTTGTTTTTTTTTAAATAATCAGTTGGCAACGGTTAACCGTTGCCAACTCTAACCCTTTTATTTATTTTTATTTTTTTAAAAAAAAATTATCAATTGGCAATGGTTAACCGTTGCCAACTCTTACCTATTTTATTTTTTTTAAAAAAAAAACAGTTGGCAACGGTTAACCATTGCCAACTCTAAAATTTTAATTGGCGCTCATTTTAGTTGGCAACGGTTTTCATGAACCGCTGTCATAGGGGGGGTGCCTATTTAGTTTTTTCTACTAGTGTATAAAAAAACAAAAACAAAAAACAAAACAAAAAACAAAAGTTAGTAAGTATGAACTATCATTTGTCAATTGGAAACAATGAACCATCAAAGTATCAATCTATCATATCTATCAATTAATTAATAATCAACAACTCCACAAGTATTCAAATCCAACTATTCAACTAAATAGCTAATTGTTGCAATACTCTAATTCAATCAAATAATCAATTATTCAACAAGAGAACGATTATATATCATTTTATTTCAAATTCCCAATCAAACTAGCAATTATCATTTAGCAATAACTCAATACGACAATGCATCTTCCAATTATCATTTTCCCTGGCAAATTACGATTCTTCTCCAATCTTTAGTTTTTTCTTTTCTCCTTTCTTCTTTGCGATTCCTCTCCATTCATTCTTTAGTTCTCTCCTTTCTCCCTTCTCCTCCCTAGTCCCAATTCTTCTCCCATATTTTGTTTTTCTATGTCCCTGAAAATGGCCCCCTTTGAAGATCGTCTCTCTATACTCCCGGAGGCAATTATCTTCACCATTCTTTCACTTCTACCTATCAAAGACGCCGTTAAGACAAGCATCTTAGCAAAGCCATGGCGGTACTAGTAGCATTCCTTGCCTAATGTCGAAATTAACGAGCGCCTTTTTGCCACCCCTGTCACCGGAATCAATCAACAACACCCAAACATCGAACTTGGAGGGCAAAATCACAAATTCAACCAAGAACCCTAGATTACCAGAACTGTACTGGATATACGAAAACCACATTCCTTTTACTCACATGATATACGAAAATACAAGAACCCTTAAGTCGAAAATCAAATCAACGACAAACCCTAGATTACGAAAACTGAAATCGATAATCTAAAAAGGACAAAAACAAATTCTTACCTCGAAGTTGCTTCAATGGAGGTGAGAAAGCTCGAATCCGCTTCAATG